TGACCCATAGGCACCACCCTACAAATAAATTTTTAAAACATAGGTAGACAACCTAACAGAAAGATGAACAGAGGCCATGAACAAGCACTTCACAAGAGAGCACCTTCCAATGGCCAATAAACATAAGAAAAGATGCTTACCTTTGTGAATAATCCAATAAATGCCAGTAAGAATCACAATGAAATACCACCACCTACCTGTCTGTCAGGACAGGCTTGGTTAAGCTGCAGTAACAATTCCAATATCTTATGGATTAAACCAACAGTGGACTATTTCTCAGCTGTACATGTGCCTACTGCAGGTACCCCTGAGGGCTCCGCTCTACCTTGCCTTCAGTTATGGACCAGGCTCTGTGTCCAGTATCCACAAATGCCAAAGCAGAAAAGGAGATGAATGCACTGGCTCCTAAAGTTTAGCCTAGAAGTGATCCATGTCACTTCCACCCACATTCCATTCATAACTACACTCCACTTCAAGAGGGCACAGAAGTACAGTTCTACTATGTGCCCTGAAGGGGACAGAACCAGAAATATTTGATTAACAGTATTACCACAATGGAATATCAATTTTTGGTGAGCGCATGGAGCAGTGGCAACACCTCCTCCCCATTGGTGGAAATACAAATTGATAGAAGCAATCTGGAAAAGCCTGGCATAATCTAATAAAGTGGCAGATACGGTGGCCCACAGTCAGGATCTGCACTGGGCCTCAAGCCTGGGACCTATTTTTGCCAGTGTTGCTGATACCTTTGGGTTTCCCATTCTTCTCTTTCCTAGAGGGCCAACCTATTGCCTAGAAATTTCATCATTAAGAGAAGCAGATGTTTCAAGAGAAATGTACAACAGCATACATTTTTAAGAATATTCATGGTGGTGTGTTTCATAATGGCCCCAAACTCAAAATATGCCAAACCCATTAGTCATGAAGTAGGTAAATAAACTGTGGTACATTCACATAATGGAACGCTATGCAACAATGAAATTAAACCACCTACAGCTACATGCACAAAAGGGATGATTCTCAAACAATACCAAGCAAAGAAGGTAAGACACAAAATAATGTATGTTACGATTCTGAAAGTCACCTGGGAAGCACATTCAGGTTGCCTAGACAATGAGCTAGCAGGGCTAAGAGAGGCCTCCCCATCCCCTAGTGAGGGGCTGCACTCAAGCACTACAGGGCCTGCCACTGTCTTTTCCAGTTGGATTGCCCCACAGGCCCCCAAGTTTTCAGTTGTGGGCAGCTGGCATTTCCAGACAACTTCTATGAATAGCAGTCACTCAAATACAGATGCCTGGTGTCTAAGCACTCTGTGCATCTCTTCACTGGTAAGGCTCCATCACAGATGCCTGATAAAAAGAGCTATTTGGGAAGCTGAGACAGGAGGGTTGCTCAAGCCCAAGAGCTAAAGGTTGCTGTGAGCTATGATGCCACAGCACTCTACCCAGGGCAGAGAGTGAGACTCCGTCTCCAAAAAACCCAACACAGCACAGGGGAGGGTGGCAAGCAGGGTCACTGTAGCAGAGACCAGCCCAGACATACCACTCCATGGGGACGATGGAGGATAAGAGATCTGTGCCTTCCCCTCTCTTGCTTAGAAAATTCTCCTCTTCCCAGTAAAATCTGTCCCTGAATCTACATTCTGAGATGTTGAGAAATTTGTCTCCAGCCAACAGGTGGCATCTGCCAATGAACCCCAAAGGTAACACCTT